GCGGTAATTCACAACTGCATATGGGTGGGTCCTTCGCCAGGCTAATTGGGGCGGAGGCTCCTTCTCCGGAGGTGTCTAGAGGGCCTCCCGAAGGCTTCCTGGGGGCCTCTGGAGGCCTCGCGGGAGCCTCTCGGGGGCCTGTGGGGGCGCCGCGGTTTCCCTCCACGACGGGCTCCCGACGTGGAGTGCTGTCGGGGGCGTCTTGGAGCCATCTTGGCCAGTTTGGGAGGTTTCTTGGGGCCGCCTTGGGGCCACATTGGACCGTCTTGGGGGTTCTCCTGGGCCGTGTTGAGGCCTTTTGGGCCCGTCCGTGGGCCGCTCTGGGGGGGGGGGCATCTTGGGCGGCTTCGGACGCCGGGAAGACAGAAAAGGTAAATGTCCTCGAGCCACCGGAATACCAGCATGGACGACGGAAAAAAACGGGGTCGAGTGCGCGGACATTCGCGCGCAAGGTATTTGCGCAAGATGGCGCGTAAGTGCCTTCATTTCCCATATAGCGTGCCGCGCTGCTGGCCCGCGTATGCCACCGCGCAAAATTTCGATGGCCTCTCGCGCAGGACCAAATTATTTTCGTCGCTCGATATCTTTGCCGTTTGGAGGCATCGTGGGGATCTTCGCTGGGTCATCTTTGGGCGTCTAGGGGGGTTATGAGGGTACTTCAGGCTCCCGTGGTCGTTTGTGCGCTCTTCCGACTGCCGTGGGCCTGTATTCCAAGCCTGGCAGGGGCGTCCAGGAGGCTCGGAAGCCGAGGGGCGATTTGCACTGGCGCCCAGGAGGCCCGAGGAGGCCGAAATTTGGCGCCCCCAGGCTTTCTGTACGAATCTGTGGATCGAGAAGCTTGGAACTCACGCTCTTGGGCTCTACAAGGAGAGGAGGCCAGCGAAGCACGCACGGGCGCTGGCCGCCACGCCTGCCGATCCCGCCAGCTCCACGCGGGGGACGTTGCGGTCGGCGTCTTTGGGTTTTTGTGGGGGGGGGGGGGGGGCGGGGGGGGGGGGGGGCACGCGCGCGGACTTCGGCCGGGTTCCGGGTCCCTCGCGCTCCCCGCCCCGGGGCAGGGCTCGACCTGATCGACGTTTTGGGGATCTCGTGGAAAGGTTTCGCTCGGATGTCGTTCTGCAGCAGGGGCGGAACGAAGGCAGAACGAGGCAGAACGAGAACAGAACGAAGACTGAAGACGCTGTCGAGGTCGAGCCTCAAGTCGGGCCTGTCCCCCTATAAGGGGATTTTCGACGTAACATCAAAAATACCCCCAAAAAAAAAAAAAAAAAAAAAAAAAAAAAAAAAAAAAACTCTGGGAACTATTTTTGGAGTATGTTTTGAACCTTTGGGGCATTTTGGGTGTCTTCTTTATTTAATCGCTTCGCTCATGCCGCCGGCCCTGGAGCCCTCTTTAGGGCCTCTTGGGGGCCTCTTGGGGACCTCTTGGGAGTCTCTTGGGGCTCCTTGGCGGCGTTTTGGAGGCCCCCAGGGCCTCTTGGGGGGCTCTTGGGGGTAGTCGATTGCGGCTCCCCCCTCGGAGGCCACGATCCTCGTGAGGGGTGTCGAAAAATACCCTCCCCTGGAGTGGTCTGGTGGCTTCTCCCGGGCTTCTCTCGGGACCTTGCCGGGGTACTTTTCGTCCGGGGGCCCCCAGGGGCCGCTCCGCGCGCGCGAACTAGAAATATTGTTAACAAGTTACCGGAGATCTTAGCACGCCTCTGGCCCGTTGGGCCGGCGAATTGCATTTTGGGTGTATTCTTTATTTTTCGTCGATAATCCCCCTGTAGGGGGACACGCCCGACTTGCGTCGAGCCCTGCGCCCCTGGCCCGCTCCACGAGGCCCCTCTCTGCGCCACCCCGGGCGGCGCCCGCGGCGCCGGCCGCCAGTGGCGCGCCCCTCCGCGCGGGCGGGGGGCTGCGGGTGCACAGGCCCGGCGCCGGCTTCGAAGCGTGCCGTCCGCGGAGCCGCAGGGCGGCGTTGTTCGGGGTCGGCAAAGAGGGGGGTGATGACCCTGACCTTCCAGGAGGGCTAAAAAATAGCACCCGACCTAAAAACCTATCCCAAAGCTATTCTACGTCTTGGTTTTAGGCTGTTCCGCTCAGCTTTTTAGGTTTTTAGGTCTCCAGTGCTAAAAAATAGCTCTCTTTGTTTTCAGGGGGGGAAAAACACACAGACACAATTGATCGTCGATTCCCAAGGAAGTATAGGGAAATATGGGAATTGGGCGGGAAGACAAGAGCCCAGAAAATGTGGGAAAATATGGGGAACCATTTTATTTGTGTGTATTTATTTGTGTGTCCCAGGGCCCCTTCATTGTTCGGGGTCGGCAAAGAGGGGGGTGATGACCAGGGGGGGGGGATATCATTCAGAGCGTGAATTGCCTACCCCGGTTTCGCTTCCAGGCAAAACCAAGTCGTACCACGCGCCTCCTCGTCAAGCGGCCTGACCAGCACAGGCCGTAGTTTGGCATCGTTTGGTATCTCTTGGAAGCGAGGGTGGTCAAAAGCGAGGTAGGTTTGTTTTCCCCCTTATCATGGCGTGGGCCATGATGTTTCCCCAGACTTCATGGCGCCCCTTCTTGTTTCATTGCGTCCCCAGCCCCCCCCCCTTGGGCCGCGCACATGCCGCCGGTCATGATTTGCACCCCCCCTCTTGGACGCCCCCCTCTTGGCCGCCCCCGAGTTTTCACGGGCCCCTTCGGTCGCCATCCAGGCGGTAGCCGTCGGAGGTCTCGGTCCCGCTCTTCGCTTGTGGTGCCTCTCTTCGCGCCCTGTCCCCGTCGCTCTGCGGGGCCCCCTTTTCCCTTGCCTCCTCCCCCTGGTGCCGCCGCCTCTGCGCTGTGGGTTCTCGTCGCTTCCCCCTCGCCCTCCTCTGCCTCCTCCTCTCCCTCGTTTCCTCGTCGTCCTCCGCCCTTGTCAGAGCAGCGACACGGTCCAGCAGACAGGTGGTCACACTTGGTTGCGTTCCGCTCCTCCCAGGAAATCGTCATGGCTCTCCTTGTGGCCCCGTGCAGTGGGCAGGAAAGATCAGACATCGGCTTGCCAGTAGGTGTCCCACGTTGATTTCTTATCTCCTCCTGGCCTTCGGGGGCTCGCAGAGACCCTGGGGCACTTCAGGAAGGTCAGACGCATGCCACATTCATCGGTCAACGCCTCCCCCTCCCCCCAATGTGTAAAGTTGGTGGTGGGTCTGATGAGTTCCACTTCGACCGCAGTCTCCCCCGCGCGTGCTTACTTTGAGTTTGGGGGAGCGGGGAAGTGTCCACTAATTGTTTCCCCCCACTGGCTGTCGTCGACAAGCGTGCTCTGAGACTTCTTGCAGCGGGACCTCTTATCGTAAGTGTCTACTGAAGGCGGGCATCTTGACAGGCCAGCTCATCTTTTGACGCCGCAAGCGGGAATAGCGGAGGGGGGCCCGATGGAGCTACGAATTGCTCGCTCTGCGGAGCGACCGCCTTGTAACATCAAACCTAATGAACACCAGACTAAAACAACAACAAAAATTATCCCGGCAAAGCAACCTAACAGCGATGTGTAGAAGCATATCTGAAAACATTCCCCTTAAGATTCAGATGAAAATCCAGTTGTAGAATTCTGCTGTTCTCGCAGTCGTAGTCGCATTCGCGATGACAGTCGCAGCGGCAACGGCAGTCGCAGTCACAGCCTCAGCCTCAGCCTGCCTCAGCCTCAGCCTCAGCCTGCCTCAGCCTCAGCCTGCCTCAGCCTCAGCCTCAGCCTGCTTCAGCCTCAGCCTCAGTCTGCCTTCAGCCTCGGCCTCAGCCTCAGCCTGCCTCAGCCTCAGCCTGCATCAGCCTCAGCCTCAGCCTCAGCCTGCCTCAGCATCAGCCTGCTTCAGCCTCAGCCTCAGCCTGCCTCAGCCTCAGCCTCAGTCTGCTTCAGCCTCAGCCTCAGTCTGCCTTCAGCCTCGGCCTCAGCCTCAGCCTGCCTCAGCCTCAGCCTGCCTCGGCCGCAGCATCAGCCTGCCTCAGCATTCAAAATGTGGCCCAGGAATGGAGTTCTGGGAACTAGAAGAACACGAAGTGGCCTACAGTTGGCTCCGGGCATTCAAAATCATGCCCAGGAATGGAGTTCTGGGAACTTGAAGAGCACGAAGTGGCCTACAGTTGGCTCCGGGCATCCAAAATGTGGCCCGGGAATGGAGTTCTGGGAAATCAAAGAGCACGAAGTGGCCTACAGTTGGCTCCGGGCATTCAAAATGTGGCCCGGGAATGGAGTTCTGGGAAGTCGAAGAGCACGAAGTGGCCTACAGTTGGCTCCGGGCATCCAAAATGTGGCCCGGGAATGGAGTTCTGGGAGCGCCAAGAGCGATTTTGCGAGGATGTCCCAAGCGATTTGGGCTTCGGCGGCATGCCCCGGGTCCCGCCCCGACCCCCCTGTGGAGTCATTTGCTGCTCTCTTTTGAGGCCACTAGAAACCTATCAGCAAAAGCTGTTAGGTAAAACACAAAAAGTCTTTCGGCGCGCCCGAGCAGGATGCGACCGTGGATCGACGCGGTGCTCCACTCTTGCGGAATCTATCCGCCAGATCTTGCAGGGCCTTGGCCTCGGGGGCCCCCCCGGCTTGGTGCGGTGACCATGCCGCCGTGGTGAGTCGGTGGGGATTCGGGGTGGCTGCACGGTTTGGGGACTCGGGCCGTTCTCCGAGCACAGTGCCGTTTTTAATACATGCTCCGCGTGCGGATCATGTGTTAAAAATGTAGGGACTTAGTCTTAAAGCAACGATGAGTTCATGCATACATGTATTCATAAATTAATCATGTATCAAAATCCTATATGTTTAAAGATCCTATGTATTGAAAACTGCCCTGTACGCTTCGGGCGAGTGGGGCCTCCAGGGTCTCAAAACCGTGCGGCGGCGGACCGTGCGTGCGGTGAGGTCTCCCGGGATGTCGAGGTCACCGCACGGTCTGCCACCGCACCGCCTTGGAGGGGTCCTCGAGTGGCCTGCGGTCTTCTGGCCTGTCGGGGCCCTGGCCGTTGCGACGCCCTCCCGCGCAGGACGAGCCCGAGGGCCGCGCCGCCGCGATCGCCAGGCGGGCCGCCCAGAGGGCGCCCACGCCCGCCGGGCCGCTGGGGAAGAAGGAGCAGCAGGCGCAGCGGGGCCCCGAGCCGCAGCCCCTGGGCCTGCCCCCGCAGCCGCCGCCGTCGGCCAAGGCTGTGGCGCCGGGCCGGGCCGAGAGCGGACCGAGCCCGCCGGTGCCGCCGGGCGCTGCCGCGTGGTCCATCGGCTCCGCGGGCCACGACGCGGGCAAGTGCGAGCCCTGCGCCTGGTTCTGGAAGCCCCAGGGCTGCCTCTGGGGCGCGGAGTGCCGCCGCTGCCACGCGTGCCCGAGCGGGGAGCTCCTGAGCCGCAGGAGGGCCAAGGAGGCGCGCTTGCGCGCCGACCGAGGAAGCGCAGCCAGTCGCCCGGAGGCGGCCGCGCTCGAGGAGGCGCCGCCGACGCCGACGCCGACGCCGACGCCGATGCCGACGCCGACGACGCCGCCGCCGCCGCCGCCGACGACGACGACGACGACGACGACGACGACGACGACGACGACGACGACGAGCACATGGTAGGTCGCGGTGGCCTCGGCGCGCGCGCCGCCCAGCGTCCCCGCGCCCCCTGGCCTGGAGGCGCCCCAGGGCGCGCGCCGGGCCGAGGCCTCGGAGGGCTCCGCGGGCCACCGGCGGGGCGAGTGCGAGCCCTGCGCCTGGTTCTGGAGGCCCGGCGGCTGCACGCGCGGGGAGGCCTGCCTGCGGTGCCACCTGTGCCCGGACGGGACGATCAGGGCCATCCGCAGGGCGAAGAAGGAGCTCCGCCGCGGGGGCGGCGGCGCGGACGCGCCCGAGCGGGCCGCGGCGGTGCCCGGCAGCGGCCAGCCTGCACCTCGGGAGCCGCCGGGGGCCGAGCGGCAGCCCGCCGCAGGGGCCGCGGCCGCGCCCCCGGAGCAGCCGGCCACGGCCAGGGGGCCACCCGCGCCGACGGCAACGGGCGCCGTGCTCGTCGAGGCGTTCGCGCCGAGCGCGCCACCCGGCCTGCCCACGCCGCCCGCGTCGGGCCACCAGGGCGTCAGCCAGGCCCAGAGGAGGGAAAGGTAGTTGTCAATACCGCTGCCCTTCCCTCGCTTGCCCCCTGTTGGGCCTCCTGGAAGGCTCTCGTCGCCACCAAGGATTCTCTTCGAAGTCCTGGTCAGAACGAAGCCCAGGAGAGGTCCGCGGAGTAGCGGTAGCGGTACCTCCTGGTTTCCCCACAGGCGGCGGGCCCGCGCCGGCCGGAGGCCTCGGAGGGCTCCGCGGGCCACTGGCGGGGCGAGTGCGAGCCTTGCGCCTGGTTCTGGAGGCCTGGCGGCTGCAGCCACGCGGAGGCCTGCCGGCGGTGCCACCTCTGCCCGGACGGGGCGATCCAGGCCCGCAGGAGGGCGAAGAAGGAGCTCCGCCGCGGGGGCGGCGGCGTGGACGATCGCGAGCCAGCCGTGGAGCACTCCTGCCTGCTGCAGGGCTTCCGGCCTCCGCCCGGGCTGCCAGCACCCGGGAGTGCGCGCCCAGTGGCGTTGTGAGGGGCCCCGCCTTCGTTCCTCGCGGTTCTCACTTGCCCGCACGGGCTCGTGGCCCAAGTTGGCTTCGCCCGTGCCCGGGTCCAATCGAATGGACGTTCTGTCTTACTCGGCTTAGCAGCGCTGCGCATGATGGTGCCTGCTGCCATCACGTTCGACCATTCGACGTCTGGGCTTTTGAAACAGAGACACGAGTTCTGCACCATCGTTTCATACTGTGGCAAATTGGCCTACGTATGGCAAGCACGCCCTGCACCTCTTATGCACGTTAACACAGCAGGCTTTCAGGCAGCAGTTCGACATGCCTGACCGTCACGAAACGCTTGACATTGGCTTCGTTTTTTATGATCCGCCTGCCTTCATGTCACAGGAGCATGGAGGCAGGAGCGCACTTACAGCAGCGCATGTCACGAGGAGGTGTAAGGAGTACGAAGAAGAGGACGAGGGAGGATGAGGAGTTGGAGGTAAAGGAGAAGGTGAGGGGGAAGAAGAGGAAGAGGGAGGAGGTGCAGGAGGTGGAGGAGTAAGGATAAAGAAGAGGATGAGGGCGGCACGGGGGAAGGAGGAGGAGGAGGAGGAGAAGGATGGGGATGAGGGGGATGAGGGGGATGATGTGGAAGGAGGGAGGGAGAGAGGGAGAGAGGGAGGAGGAGGAGGAGGAAGAGGAGGAGAGGAGAGGAGAGCTGGAGCCAGGATTTTAGGAGGAGGGAAGAGGTGGAGAGGAGGAGGAGGAGGAGATAAAAGGAGGAGGAGGAGGAGGGAGGAAGAGGAGGAGGAGGAGCAGGCGGAGGAGGAGGAAGTGGAGGCGCGAGGGGGAGGTGTCAAGGTGGAGGAGGAGGCGAAGGAGAAGGAAATGGAGGCGCGAGGTGGAGGTGAGGAGGTGGAGGAGGCCTGACGCTCCAGAGCGGATCCGCCCCTCTGCGCCCTGAGCGGCACATGGCCGTGGCTGGGCCCGGCTGGCCGACGCGCGCCCGTTGCGACGGCGGCGGCCGCCCAACGCCGCGGAGCGGACCGCGCGCACAGCACAAGGCGTGCGCGCAGGACGCCGACGGGCGGCCGCCCAGCACAGGGCGGCGCCCAGCCGCACGAGGCGGACCCGGACGTACCCAAGTCGCGAGAGCAGGCACAGGTCGACTAGACGTAGGAATGACCCTTCGCCGGAGTGACCTCTGGTGCGGGCGCAGTGGGGTCCCCCGGTCGCCGAACGCGCTGCGATGGCAGCGTCTTGCGCGCCTGTGGTTGGTCACCCCGGGGCCCCCAGAAAGCCGCGCACCAAAGGTCATTCTTGCCTAGGGTCACCCTTGCGTGTAGTCAATAAGTCGCGAAAACGGTACAACATACACACAAATACACACAAAACAAAAAGCAATGGCCCAGCACCCCCACCATTGCAGCACCCCAGTTGAAGATATACCCCTCGAAGCTCGAAGCCCAATGGAAACGGCCCATATCCCCATCCAGGGGGGCAGATCGGCCAGTGGGGCCCAGACCACGCCCATGGGGATAGGGGTCGGATTAACGATGCCCACAGCAGCACAGGTTGCGGCGAGCAGGGGGGGCAAGGGAGTTTCGAGGTTCTGGGTTCAGGAAAGTGTTTCGCCTTGTTCTGTCTCTGGAGGCCACTTTCGGGCCCCTGGACTGTTAAAAACGGATCTTGGGAGTGAAAAGTTCCATTGGATGGACCCCAGGTGGGGTCTGGGGACCTGATTTTGATTAAAGTTGTCTCCATCCCCCCTCTTGGCTGATTTTCTCGGGGCCCAACCGGCTCAGAACCCCCGCCGCCTCCAAAGCAAACAAGTTACGTTCAGGAATTTTAGCTTAGCCTGTCGCTCCGCATGTTCTGGCCCACCACGCTTTGGCACGACACTCCATCCACGTCCCCACTTCCAAGCGTTAACGTCCCAAGCTGTTCCCAGCCTCCCGCCCCGCGGCGCGGAGCGACATGCTATCCGCTCGCAGGGCATAGCGTGTCGCCAGGCCCGCCGCCGCGACATACTGAGCAAAAGTCCCCGACCGGACCCCAGCAAAGCACCCCAAGCAATGGCAGCAAGGGGGACGAGGCGGCCAGCAGAGCAGGCGCAGCACGGCTGGGAAGCCCCAGGAAAGAAAGCACGCGGCCGGGACAGGGGTGGCAGCACGGCCATGCATGCCTCAGCGTGTGTGTTTTTACCAGGGGTCGTGGCCGTCCGGACAAAAAATGTAGCCAGCATCGCAGCGAGACCACGATTCCGGAATAGATGTGGATGGATGCTTCTGGCGAAGCGGCTGGCGCACCGGCTGCCGGACCGGCTGCCAGACGGCGCGGCCTCGTGTGGGATTCTTCGGACGTCCTGATGCACTTCTTCTTGAACCTTCTAAGCAAAGCGCTATTATATAGAGAGAGATAGGAAGAGAAAAAACAAACTATAAAAATATTATTTCTTTTTAATATAAAAAACACACACACACACACACACAACAAAAAAAAACTATTGAAATTGCATGCTTAGGGCTGTTTTTGGAGTCGGGGGGCCCTCGCCGGGCCCGGGGGCTGCCGAATGACGGCCCGCGATGGAAATCGGCCCTTGGGCAGAGAGGGCCGGGACTTGGAAGGCCCCGCTCGTGGCGAGAAAGTGCCGGCGCCGGGCGTCCCGGGAGCGCGCGGCCTGGCGCAGGGACCTGCACGGGCCGCGCCCCGTTCCCCTCGGCCCTCCGCCGCGGGAGGCACGCGAGCGACGCCCCGGAAGGCGGGGCCGCCTGTGCCGACGTGGGCGCGCCAGCGGCCCGCGCAGGGTCGCGCGTGAGTGCCTTCGCTCCCGCTGTGGTGGAAGGGGCCCAAGGACACACAAACAAATACACACGAATAACAGGATTCCGGGACGAACCCCAAATAGATATTGACCTGGGGTTATCATGTTCCAGGAATCTTGACCAGGGTCCATAAGGTCTCCCCCGGAACATTATGAACCTGGGTTTTAATGTTCTGGGAACATTGACTGGGGTTCATAAAGTTCGCCCAGGAACAGCATAAACCCTGGTTTATACCTTTCTGGGGATGTTGACCCCACAAATATATTAACCTGAGTTGATAATGTTCTGGGACTATTGACCCCGGTTCATAATGTCCCGGGAATCATGAACCCGGCTTTTGTAATTTTGGAATGATAATAATTAGCATTTTCTCCCCAACCCCCGGGTTCCTCACCAGTTGTTTCATGTCGGAAGATTGACCCCAGTTCATTATCTCCAGAAGATAATAAGTCTGGGTTTATAATGTTGCGGACATATTGACCCCAGGGTCATTATTCTGGAATGATGCTGATTCACCTTGGGGGGTGCCGTTGGAGAGTAATGACCGGGCTGAAATAGACCTTGGTTCATAATGTTGGAAGAATAATCTTCGGTTGATTTTTCCAGAAAGAAAATGATTCAGCCGGGGGGGGGGCTCAGCTTGATCCATGCACAGAACCATAAACCATAGGGCATCATCTAAACATAACGAACCTGAGTTTATCATTCCTTGATAATGAACCACGGTCGACGAGGATTTCGCGGGTGGCCTCCAGGATCCACCATATATTTTTTTATTTTGGGGGATTTTCGTCTTCCCCCCCATTTCCCATATCTTTGCGCATTTTCCTAGGAATCGACGATGATTTGTGTCTGTGTGTGTTTTCCCTCCCGATTGTGGTGTGCCGCGCCGGCGGCCCGCGTAAGCCACCGCACAGTGTCGCTGTGCCACCTCGCGTAAAACTCCTTTTTCTGTCCGTCGCTCACATGAACGGGCGGCGAGCCCGGGCGGGGGAGTACGAGGGGGCGGGCCTTCCCGGAAGGAGAGAGCAAAGATGGGGAGGGGCGGAAGACGGGATGGTAGAGGGAGAGGAGGAGTGAGAAGCGGGGGAGGACAGAGCAAAGATGGGGAAGATAGAGAGAGAGAGGGAGAAGTGACGAGGGAGGAGGGGCTAGGGAGCAGGGGCAGGGGAAAGCGACACGGGGCGGGGGGGGAAGACAGGAAGGGTCAAAGGAGGGGGATCCCTCCAGGCTCCGGAAGGAGCACGCAGAGGAGCGAGGACGGGAAGAGCAGTGACCTGCGAGGGGTGGATACGACAACGGTCTTGAATCCCTCTGGCTCACCGGCAGCAGCGGCATTCCCCCGTCGCCGCACTCCCTGCTGCTTCCTCCCCCCTCCTCGCCCATCCTCCACTCCTGGGACACCCAGGCCCAGGGGGGGGGGGCCTGGCCCCGGATGCTGTCGCTGGTCCTCCGTAGCCATTCTGGCTCAGGCCACGTTGGGTCTGGGCCTCCGGTCGATGCGGCGACCTCCCCCCCCCCTCCGGGGGGCCGGCGCCCACAGGGCCTGGCATGGCGCGGCGCGCCCCGGAGGATGGCGTGGCACTCGCTGTCTGGCGCGCTGCTGCTGCTGGCCCTGGCCGCGCTGGCGGCGGTGGTCTTCCTGCACCAGCATTAGGTCGGGCAGGTCTAGTTTGGAGCACGGTTTGACTGTTTTTCATTCGTCCTCCGAAATCCGCCTGTGGGAGGGCATGCCCGACCTAACACCAGCACACGAGCGCGCTGGGCGAGGGCGGCGGCGAGGGGGCGGAGGGCGCGCCGCGCGCGGGCCCCGCGTTGTCGCTGGCCGAGGTGCGGGGCCGCTCTGGCCGAGCCTGACACGCTGGCCGCGTCGGAGGGGGGCGACGGCATGGTGCTCTGCGCTGCTCTCACCGAGAACCCCAAGGGGGGCTCGCACTACGGCATCAGCGAGAATAGCACCAGCGGAGCCTGGTGGGCAAAGAAGATCCACGGGATCAACAGGGACCACTGCAGGAGGTGCGGGCACCCCGTGGTGGTGCGCCACGCGCCGGTGAAGTGGGAGCCGTGGCAGGAGGACTTCTGCGCCGGCAAGCTGAGCAACCTGACCAGGAAGCCTTCTATCGACCTGAAGCAGTGCCAGAAAATGGAGAACCGGGAGGTGAGCGCCTGGGAGAAGATGAGGATGATGAGGGACATGTTGAACGTCCTTGGGTTCACCCACGTGCTCATCCTGGACTGCGACGCGGTGATGAATCACATGAGGCGGGACACCATGTCCGAGATGGCCCAGCTGCTGGAACAGGAGAGCAACCCGTCCAGGTCGAGGCAGATTTTACTCATCAGCGAGGATTACCGCAGCTGCTGGAACAGGAGAGCAACCCGTCCAGGTCGAGGCAGATTTTGCTCATCAGCGAGGATTGCCGCGGGGGCGACGGCCCAGACGGGAAGGGGACCGGGCTCAACGCCGGGATGATGTTTGCGAAGAACACCGGCCTCACCCGGCAGCTCTTCGCCGACATGGCCAGGGCCAACAAGCTGGGGCCCGCGTGGTCGGGCCCTGGGCCTTGGTGCGCCACCCACGAGCGGGCTTGCCTGGAGAGCTGGCAGACCTGGAAGAAGCGCAGGAGTGACTCGGCGTACCCGGGCCTCAACAAGGCCATCCTGAAGGCGTCCAGCCTCCATTTCGGGATGAACCCGTGCATCTGGTTCGACTGCACGCTAGAAAAGTTCCCGAACATCCCAAGATACGAGCACTCCGAATCGAGGCACCACGCGTGCCACCACTGCAACGGCCTCAGGGTGCCGCCCGGGAACCTGACCAAGGGC